ATTGTAATATGTTCACATGGTGAATAACATGCCCACAGGCACCATGGCGGTCCCAAGGCTAGCCACAAAGGTCAGAGTGAGAAATGGCCAACTTCCTGGGAATCCCAGCCACTTCCCCAGGCTACTTAGACTGGCCCTTCCACTTAGCATATGAAGCCACCAAGCCCATAAAAAACTGGCAACACGGCGCCTCTCTCTCCCTCTTCGGAGACAGCCCACACTGTCTATGGAGTGTGCGTACCTACTTTTAATCTGAGCACCCAACCCCCACACCTCGTGGCCTTTCTCTAGCCTTTCAATGTCTCTCTCTGAATAAATCACCTTTACTCAAATGTGGCTCGCTCTTGAATTCTTTCCTGGGCAAAGCCGAGGACCCACACACTTGGCGGGGCACGTCCCAAGGGCTCAGCTGAGACCTGGGACACGGCCCTCCTCACGCTCCACTGTTTTCCTGCATCACCACTACGCAACTTTGGTATTAGTGGGAAGGAAGTACAGTGGACCAAAGTGCCAGCCACCTGGCTGTACCCCCACACTGACATCCTTCCCAGGGGACAAGTCAGAGCTATGGCATGGGGTAACTAAAGCATATGTAGGACTCCCAGAAATGCCCGATATGTGGAGAGGGGTTTGTGCAGGTGTTAGGGTTCTGGGCTAGGGGTGGGGGTGAAGACAGTGGGCTTTGGGGCGCCAACTTGAAAGAGGCGTTCCATATTCAGGCAGATAGGTGCATATATCCAAGGCTTATGCATGCTTAAAGACATCCCAGGACAGCCAAGGAGGCTGCGTGGTGAGCTCAAATGGTGGGTCCAGGTCCCTGGGGCCAGGGAGACAGAGGGGGGCTCAGGGACAGATTAAACATGAAATTGACACTAAGTACAGAGCAGCATCAGGGAGATGATGGGGACAAGGAGAAGGGAACAGACACTCTGAGTCAGGGAGGGGATTAGCATGTATGCGACAGAAAAAGGCTATGGGCTTGCCCCGAGAGTTTGTGAAACTCACCAATGGAAGAGAAGGCTGGACAAAAGTAGTTGGGATCAAATTGCAAAGGACATTTCGTTCCACACAGGGAAGTACAACATGGTTCTGAGGGGCAGCCAAGGGCCTTTTGGAAGTTTAAGGGACCTGAAGTGGTTCAGACTAGCGAAAAAAATGGTGGTTGCACAGAGGGGCCATTTGGAAAGGTTAATCCAGAGCTTTTCACTGCCCTTCCCCTGTGGTCCTCACACCACCCGGGGAGATGTGAGTGTGTCGCAGGAGGAATGCAAAGGCAGCAGGCAGAGCCCACTTCTGTGGCTTCCAGACACAGCCCTGCTGGGACATTGTAGGGAGACCCCACCTGCCACTCTCTGCACCCTAGGGTGCGTCCTCTAGCAGGAACGGGGCTCCGTGTCCCGAATCACGAGCTGCATATGGGCACCTCCATTTCAAGGCCTCTAGAAATGCATATGTGCCCATATTCAAAATCAGGGTGAGCACTGGACTCCCGGAGGGCTGCAAGTGGAAGGGAAGGACCCTCACCTGCCCTTGGACAGTGGGGAACCCACCCTGTTACAGCCTGTCCATTGGGCCCCTTAGGCCGATTGTCCTTGGTGTCCACCAGCCCTCACCACGAGGTTGTCTGAGGGAATCTGGGGGTCCTGCAGTGCTGACTGGTGCCTGCGAGGCCCTGCGACCACCCCCCACCCCCACCCGCCCAGACTTCCAGCTCTTAGGCGTCCACTTGCTCCTTTTCAGGAGATGAAGTCCTGACATGTGTCTGCCTTAGCAGAACTAACAGCTGGGAAACGGCTAGCCTCACCGCAGCTCAGGCCGACTTGCCCCAGCCCACGTTTCCTCCTTACCGGAGTCATCAACCCACCGCCTTGCATGTGTCAGTCCATGTCTCCATCTTACTGGAGTTGTAATTCCACTATCTTTCCGTATACCAAAGCCCCCTGCCTCACTGATAGCCAATCAGAAGGCTGGCCCCCTATCCCTTTGTGTTCCCAGCCCCTTCCCCAGTAGAAGACCCTGCCTGCTCACAGTGAGGGCTCACACAGGCACCTGTCATCTGTGTGGCCTGCTGTTGCCTGTATCAACGTATCTATTAAACTTCCCTTTATTCTTAAACTTCTCCTTGCCTTTGGTGAATTCTTTGACCGCCCACAACACCGACCCTCCAGGTCCCCCAGAAGGCCCCACAGCTGGGACAACACACCAACTCCTGAGCAGACCCCAGGAGGGAAACTGGAGGAGGGAACAAAGAGACTAGAAAGAGAGGTCAGCTCCTGCATGGAGGGTAGGAGACAGGAGATCTCAGAGATCGCCTCGCCCAAGTTCATTCCTGCACAATGCAGAGGTCAAGCTGCAGAGGATGAGTGACTCCACCAGCCTCCCTACAGCCTGGGTGCAGTTCTGAGACTCTGCCCCGAGTAGGGCCAAGGGCTGCTCATGGACATAGTATCTCTGTTTGGATTTGGCTTTGAAGCCTGCAAGGGACACTTCAGACCATCCCACCCCCATTGCTCTGTGCACCGTTAGCCTCTGATATGCAGAAATTCTTGTTACACCAAAAACTGCTGCAGTGAGTGTCTTCTGTGCATTTGTGTAATTATATCCTTTGAACAGAAGGGGATTTCTGGATAACAGGGAACGTGCATTTAAGGTTTTGATGACTACCTTCCAAAAATGGTGTGCTGATTGGTACATTTAGCAACAGGGTATAATGGTGCCCATCTTTGTGCATTTTCTTTTTTTGCATCGTTTTTCATTGAAGTATAGTCAGTTTACAATGTTGTGTCAGTTTCTGGGGTACAGCATAGTGATTCAGTCATACATATACACACATACGTTATTTTTCATAATCTTTTTCATTATAGGTTACTACAAGATATTGAATATACTTCCCTGTGCTATGAAGTATAAACTTGTTGTTTATCTATTTTATATTATAGCAGTTAGTATCTGCAAATTTTGAACTCCCAATTTATCTCCTCCTGCCCCCTTACCCCCTGGTAAGCATAAGTTTTTTTTTATGTCTATGAGTCTTGTTTCTCTTTTGTAAATAAGTTCATTTGTGTCTTTCAAAAAAAATTCTACGTGTAAGTGACATCATATGGTATTTTTCTTTCTCTTTCTGGCTTATTTCACTTTGAGTGACGATCTCCAGGTCCACCCATGTTCCTGCAAGTGGAGTTATTTTATCCCTTTTCATGTGTGCACACTATTAATAAATACTGATGTCATAAATCTTTTGCACTTTGCTCGGTTTATTTTAGTGTGCCTTTTCCTATCTCTAGTTCATGTTTCTGGCCCACTGGTATTTCAGGTCTGTGAGTTGTCTGTTTCATCTCATTTATATCGGATTGTTTATCTTTTCTTATTGATTTGAAGGTGTTCTTTCTTTTGGATAGTGACTAAAATTATTTTACCCATTGCTTGTGTTTTAACTTGATTTATGGCATTTTTGCCTTAGAGAGATACAAAATTTTATTTTATTTTTTAAAACTTATTTTTATTAATTTATTTTTTTAACGGAGATCCTTGGGATTGAACGCGGGACCTTGTGCGTGTTAAGCATGCGCTCTACCACTGAGCTGTACCCTCCCCCTGAGATGTAAAATTTTAAGGTAGATAAATGTGCTAATCATTTATTTTATAGCTTCTGGGGTCTGTTTCATGTTTTGAGTATAAATATGATTTTCAACAATAGACACATGATACAAATATTTCTAGTATCTGCTGATAATTCTATAGGATTTGTTTCATGGATATTCATCAGGAGTGTGTATATGTATGTGTGGTGGGGGAATGTAAGGTTTCCAAAGGAAAGTAAATGTCATACCACTTGTTAGAAAAACTGCAGTTTCTCCTGCGATGGAAGCGGCATCTTTATTACTTGCAACGTTTCCATGCATGTTGCGTCTGTTGCCAGAGCCTCTGTTCTGTTCACCTACTTATTCCTTCCCACATCAGAAACACACTGTTTCAGTGACATTGTAAGATTTGACGGGCATCTCACTTCTGGTTATGCTTCCTTTTCTAATGGTCCAGAGGTACGTTTGCTTTTCCACTCAAACTCCAGAATCTTCTCTATTTTTCAAAA